TTGGCTGTATGGCTTTGGGCTAATTTCTTCCCCTCTTTGGATCTTGGTCTCCCATGCAATATAATTTGGAGCATTGGACTGAAACATCCAAATGCCTGGGAGCTTGGGGGAAATACAGATTGCTGGCCCCACTCACTGAGACTCCAGTTGAGTAAGTCATGGGAGACACCTGAGAATCTATATTTTTGCAAGTTTCCTAGGGTGACTCTGATGTTTTCCTTGTTTAAGAACCATAGATCGGGATGATTTTCAAGAACCTTTGCAACCAAAGAAGAGAGTTTGTGAGCTTATATGGAGAATACACTGAAGCTCAATCTCACCTTCGGATTTGTCATAGGAAACGTGCAGCTGAAGGAATGGGCTCCTTTGTTGGGGTTCAAGAAAACAGAGTGGAAACAAGAGATTTCCCGGAGAGGCCAGTTTTGTCTCCCTATTTTAAAACAGGCTGTTTTTTTGTATGTGAGGTGGTGAACTTTCCATCACCAGAGAGGTACAAATTGACAGTCAACCAAGTTGAGGTTCAGGTCCCTGTGTCAAGGAACAAAATAACTACAGAAAGAACTGTTAAAGGATAGAGTAATTCTGAGGAATGAATATTGGCCTCCAGAGTAAGACAAACTTGGAATTAAATTCGAGCTTCCTCAAACATGGGCACTTCACAGACCTGGAATTCCGTCTCCTCACCAGAAAACCCGGAATCATCAGTTTCACCTACTTCACTGGGGCATTCATTGTAGAGAAGGCATTATCAATAAATAAAAAGGGCCTGGCATAGGCGCAAAGTAGGTGCTCAGTAAAGTCTTGTGGTTTGTTTTTTTCTTGAGTTTTCAGTTGGTCATTCCTTTGGCATCACTATTAGATCCAAGAAAACCTAACTTCAGGGAGAAAGCTTCTCACTTAGCCATGTGTTCTGTTACATAAGACACTGGGGCCTGTACTAGAAACAAAATCAACAAACAAAAACACAGCAAAGGATGATTATTGAGCAGCAGAGGTTTCCATGGTTGGCTAGGGCCATGGGGCATGGGCCACAGATGAGAATTTTTCACCCTTGTTCCTTTTAAGTCTTCAAGGGAAACTTCCAGTTGGGGATGGGCCAAGCTCAGAGCTCACTCAGCACATCTGTAATTGGGTTAATGGTACTTGGACGTGTTTAATCTATTTGTCCCAGTATCAGTGGGATATGTAACACTCATGGAACATGCTGCAGCCCTTGATGCTGGTCAAAAACAACACGCCATCTCCAAGCAGGAGTGACACAGGCAAGGGTGACACTGGACTCCGTAGCCTCCCTCATTGCCCAAGCACTCCACAGTGCAATTTCAAGTTTAAGTATCACCATATTGTGCCCCTGTTCATACCCAATTATTTTTTATCTCATGCCTTATACCCAAATAATGCCAAGTTTCTTGAAATTCCCTGCCCATTCCTTATTTTTCTAGACCTCCATAATTTTGCTCATCCAATCACAGCACACTCTTGACACCTTTTTTTTTTTTTTCCTACCTAGCTCTGTTAGGTGTTTGCAATACTCCTCAGCAACACCCCCCCCTTTTTTTTCAGGGAGAAGGGGGAAACCACCTCTGCCCCATTGGGTATGGTCTTGGTGGAACTTAAACTGTTATATCTCCCACTGAAGACGGGAGCATGTGACCTGCATGTACCAACTAGAGTCTCATTCCCAGGACTCGGAGTCTTGAGCAGAGTGGTACTAGAGAGGAACAGTTGGAGTTTGTAGAGCCTGGGAACAATTTTTTTAAAAATTTTTAAGTTATTATTATTATTATTTTTTTTAGTGTTCAGTGATTCATTAGTTGCATATAATACCCAGTGCTCATCACCATACGTGCCCTCCTTAATACCCATCATCCAGTTATCCCATCCTCCCACCCCCCCCCCCCTTCTGGAACGCTCAGTTTGGTTCCTGGAGTCCAGAGTCTCTCATGGTTTACCTCCCTCTCTGATTTTTTCCCATTTAGTTTTCCCTCCCTTCGCCTGTCGTCCTCCACACTATTCCTTATGTTCCACATATGAGGGAAATCATATGATAACTGTTTTTCTCTGCTTGACTTATTTAGCATAATCCCCTCCAGTTCCATCCACATTGATGCAAATGGTGGGTATTCATCCTTTCTGATGGCTGAGTAATATTCCATTGTATATATGAACCACATCTTTATCCATTCATCTGTTGAAGGGCATCCCGGTTCCTTCCACAGTTTGGCTATCGTGGACATTGCTGCTATGAACATTGGGGTGCATGTGCTCCTTCTTTTCCCTGTGTCTGTATCTTTGGGCTAAATACCTAGTAGTGCAATTGCTGGGTCATAGGGTAGCTCTATTTTTAACTTGAAGAACCTCCATACTGTTTTCCAGAGTGGCTGTACCAGCTTGCATTCCCACCAACAGTGTAAGAGGGTTCCCCTTTCTCCACATCTTCGCCAAAACTTGTTGTTTCCTGTCTTGTTAATTTTAGTAAGGTGGTATCTCATTGTGGTTTTGATTTGTATTTCCCTGATGGCCAGTGATGTTGAACATTTTCTCATGTGTCTGTTAGCCATTTGTATATCTTCTTTGGAGAAGTATCTGTTCATGTCTTCTGCCCACTTCTTGACTAGATTATTTGTTTTTTGGGTGTTGAGTTTAAGCAGTTCTTTATGGATCTTGGACACCAGACCTTTACCCATAATGTCATTTGCAAATATCTTCTCCTATTCTGTGAGTTGCCTCTTAGTTTTGTTGACTGTTTCCTTTGCTTTTGGGCACAATTTTTGAGCTCTTCTTGCCACTGAGCCCCTGAAACAGCCTGGCTTTCAGACTCTTTTGAGTCTCATTTTCCAGCCTTCCCTCACAGATAGAAACCTATGGGCCATGCTCCTCGAAATGCTTGCAATGAGTTCTCTCTGTGCCAAATTCTGTTGCTGTCACTTGCAACCTATGATCCTGGCACATATACTTAACCATGGTCCATGAGTGTTTTCTTTGGGAAGTCTTCCTTGAAGTCTCAAATAGAGGGCTTATTCATGATATTGCTATGGAAGACTTAGGATGTGTTTGCTTTTATGCTGTGGTCAGGCATCACAAAGGCTGGGTACTTGTCCCCTCCTCTGAGATCCCCAAGTGCCAGGGATCACTTCTATGTTAGCCCCACCAGAGCATATCAGAAAGGTTTGGGTCTATGACTGTCTCCCCAAAGGTTGCACTGTCCCCAACAACAGTGCAGTGTTTCATTCACCGCTGGGCCTCTGCAGCCGCACATGGTGCCTGATGCTGAATAAATGTGTACTGAACTGAATTGACTTGCTTTTTGGGATTCCTTACAAAACAGTCTCAGCCTTAAATCCAAAACTGCTTTGCAAACTAACCCAAACAGTGTTGCGTTTGGGAAAGCAAAGAGAAAAAATGGTTGCGAAAAAAATTGCAATGGATGTGTGTTTTGATTCAATGAAACATTCTTTTGCTGTTGGCCTACTTGAAAAAAAAAGATCACATTCTAGCAGTATCCATGACCCACCAAGGGCTTTGGTGACTGGATGGAAAGATTTCATCTAGGCGTGCTTGTAAAAATCCCAGTGAAAGGGATTCCCATTCCCTCCCTCTCTCTACACCCTCCTGTCTTCCCATAAGAAGCCTTAATGGACCCTCTGTGCAACCCTGACATGATGGAAACTGCAAAGAGATGGAATTTCCATATTGGAAAGAAAATAGAAGAATGTTATTCCTCTTACTCTAGCCCTGGAACTGGGAAACCATCCCCAGGTGGGAGAAGGGGCTGTGTGAGGAAAGGAAGTAGAACAGGAGAGGAAAAGGCAGCAGGGGTTGAGATGATGGGATGCCAGGCCTCCAGATGTCTGTGCCTTGCAGATGCATCAGCCATGGCTTGGCCCGCACATCTGGGAGCTAATCATCACCATGGCTCCCATCTGGAGAGCACTTTATAGGTCATGGAGTCCTCCCACTGATGTCTCTAGTCAGATTCCCACAGCAAAGTGGTCAGAGCAGATATCATTAGCCCCATTTGACCAATGAGGCTCCTAAAGTTGTCACATGCCTTTGCTTTAGGCTATGATAACAAGAGCAATGACAGTGATAATGTAGCCAACACTTACAAAGCACTCGCTGTGGGACAGGTACTGGTCTGTTGCATTTTGCCTCTGTAGCATTGGTCATTGAATCTACATGGCATTTCTCCAAGATGGGTGTTTTTACCCCCACTTTACAGACAAGGGGAGCAAGTTGCACAAGGGACTAGCAACATTCCTAAGATCATACAGAGAGCAAGTGGCGGAGTCAGGATTCAAACCCAGGCAGTTTGCCTCCCAGATTGGTGTCCTCCACCATCATGTCTTGCCTGCCCACCTGCCTGCCTGTCAAGGCTGGGAAGGGAAAGAGGTCTGACTCCTAATTTCACTTCTCTGCTTGTAGCATTATGTGAAGATCAAAGCGTGGTTCTGGTAGGAGACGTTCATTCACTCAGACATGTACTGGGTCACTACAGTGACCCAGTGCTGGGTCGGACAGTGGGGATACAGTTGAGGGAAAGTGGTTTTCCCATCCCATTCCAGTTGGTTGTAAGTGATGTGAGCATGGTGACCATTCTGTCTCCAGCTCCTAATGGCCCATTCTGGACACTCTTCATCCATATGTGTTGAATTTTAAATTCTTTTTTTTTTAAAGATTTTTTAATTTATTTGAGAGAGAGAATGAGAGAGAGAGAGCACATGAGAGGGGGGAGGGTCAGAGGGAGAAGCAGACCCCCCTCTGAGCAGGGAGTCCGATGCGGGACTCGATCCCGGGACTCCAGGATCATGACCTGAGCCAAAGGCAGTCGCTTAACCAACTGAGCCACCCAGGCGCCCATCCATATGTGTTGAATGAGTAAATTGTCCCTGCTCTCGAGCAGTTAGTTGACAGTCTAAAGCAGACCTACCGATGGATGGGTCTACATTCATTTTTATTGCATCTTATGTAATTATAATTACATATTATGTATGTTACAGAGTGTTGAGAGCTACAGTGTGGTCTGGACATGGAATGGATGAGCGTGAATGTGGGAGGTTTTCCGGCACTGGTGGTAGCTCAGCAAACCTGAAACAGAGAGGTATTATAGGCGGAGGACCATCAGATAAGGCTGGACAGGTAAGCAACGACCTGTGCTGAAAAGTTGGGCATTATCGTACGGGACAGAGATCAGCAAACTTTTTTCCTTAAAGGGTCAGAGTGTACATGTTTTAGGCTTTGTGGGCCACATGGTCTCTATCACAACTATTCCCTTCTGGTATAGAAATGGTATGGAAATGAATGGGCATAGCCAGTAAAGTTTTATTTTCAAAAATAGATGGTAGGCTGGATTTGGCCTGTAGGCTATAGCTTGCCAATCCCTGTTGTAGGGTGTTGGGTGACATTGATGCAGTACAACCAGATTAGGTCTCCCTCCGCCCTTTATAAGTACTTCTTGAGTGCCTACCGTGCACCATGTACAGTAGCAATTTCTTCATTCTTGTTGCTTATATTGCAGAGGGGCAGAAAGAATCCATTACAGCAGAATGACCGGTGCTGTGATGGATGGAAACAAACAGGGTCATGAGGTCACAGAGACTCAAATTTGGGAAGGCTGGCCACATACCACACTATTCCAAGGAAGTAATATCTGAACTCTGGCACAAAGGTTGAGTCAGAGTGAATTAAGTAAAAAAACTGCTCCAGATAAATAAAGGCTGGGGAGTGACCGAGGACTTGTGAGTTTAGAAGGACTAAAAGGAATTCAGCGTACCTGTAGCCTTGACTGTGGTAGGAAGGGTGACAGGAATTGAGGCTGAACATCCAATAGAAATACAATGTGAGTCACATGTAATTTTAAGTTTTCTGGTAGCCACATTTAGAAATTAAAAAGAAACAAGTGAAGGTAAATTTAATAATATTTTTTTAACTCAAAATAATCCAAAATACTATTGTCTCAACATGTGATCAATATGAACAACAGTTAATGAAATTTTACATTATTATTATTATTATTATTATTATTATTATTATTATTATTAGGTACAAAGTCTTTAACATTCAGTGTGGAGTTTCCACTTACAGCACATCTTAATTCAGACTGCCTGAGTTTCAAGTGCTCAGTAGCCACAGGGTTCTAGGGCCTGCTGCGTTGGACAGCGCCAGACTAGGTCATTCAGAGCCATGTGCACCATCCATGGAGTCTGGGCTTTAGTATAAGTGCAATGGGATTTTTATGTATCGTTCTGGGAGCAGGATAGTTATCGTTAAGTTTTTGGGCTCCTTCTGGCCAATTGCATTGAGGTAGGAGCTCAAAAATAAAAAAGCAAAAAGCAGAAGAAAGGAAGAATGGCCAACTTTGCTTGGGAAAGAGAGAGTATGTCACTATACCAGGAAACCTGTGAAAATTGAAAATAAAGGAATCAGATTTTTTAAAAGTTTTTATTTAAATGCCGGTTAGTTAACATACAGTGTGATATTAGTTTCAGATATACAGTATAGCACTTCAACACGTCCATATATCACCCAGTGCTCATCACAACAAATGCTCTCCTTAATCCCCACCACCTGTTTAACACACCCCCTCACTTTCCTTTTAGTAGCCATCAGTTCCCTCTAGTTGAGAGTCTGTTTCTTGGTTTGCCTCTTTCTTCCCCCCCACTTTGCTCATTTGTTTTGTTTCTTAAATTCCACATATGAGTGAAATCATATGGTATTTGTCTTTCTCTGATTTATTTCACTTAGCAAAATACTTGTATAGCTCCATCCATGCAGATGTCAATATTTCATTCTTTTTATGGCTGAGTAATATTCCATTGTGTGTATGTATACACACACTACATCTTCTTTATCCATTCATCAATCAGTGGACACTCGGGCTGTTTCCATAATTTTGCTATTATAGATAATGCTGCTATAAACATATAAACAATCAGGGTGCATATATCCCTTTGAATTAGTATTTTTATATTCCTTAGGTAAACAACCAGTACTGCAATTGCTGGATAATAGGGTAGTTTTATTTTTAACTTTTTGAGGAAACTCCATACTGTTTTCCAGAGTGCAGCAGTTTGTTTTCCCACTAACAGTACAGGAGGGTTACCCTTTCTCTACATTCTTGCCAACACCTCTTATTTCTTGTGTTGATTTTAACTATTCTGACAGGTGTGAGGTGGTATCTTGTTGTAGTTTTGCTTCATATTTCCCTGATGATAAGTGATGTTGAGCATCTTTTCATGTTTTTGTTGGCCATCTGTATGTCTTCTTTGGAAAAATGTGTGTTCATGTATTCTACCCATTTTTAATTGGATTATTCATTTGGGAGATGTTGAGTTTTGTAAGTTCTTTATGTATTTTGGATACTAATTCTTTATCAGATATGTCATTTGCAAATATCTCTCCCATTCAGTATGTTGCCTTTTAGTTTTGTTGATTGTTTCCTTTGCTGTGCAGAAACTTTTTATTTTGATATCATACCAATAGTTTATTTTTGCTTTTCTTTCCCTTGCCTCAGGAGACATATCTAGAAAGAAGTTGTTATGGCCAATATCAAAGAAGTTATTGCCTGTGCTCTCTTCAAGAATTTTTATGGTTTCAGGTCTCACACTTTAGGTCTTTAATCCATTTTGAATTTATTTTTGTGTATGGTATAAGAAAGTGGTCTAGTTTCATTCTTTTGCATGTTGCTGCCTCGTTTCCCCAACACCATTTGTTGGAGAGACATTCTTTTTCCAATTGGATATTCTTTCCTGCTTTGTCAAAGACTAAATGACCATATAATTGTGGGTTCATATCTGGGTTTTCTCTTCTATTTCATTGATCTATATTTTTGTGCAAGTACCATACTGTTTTGATTACTGCAGCTTTGTAATATAACTTGAAGTCTGGAATTGTGATGCCTCCAGGTTTCTTTTTCTTTTTTTTTTTTTTTAAGATCTTTAAGATATCTTTTTTTTTTTTTAAGATTTCATTTATTTATTTGAGTGAGAAAGAGAGAGAGAAAGAGCATGAGCGGGGGAAGGGGCAAAGGGAGAGGGAGAAGCAGACTCCCCGCTGAGCAGGGAGCCCAATGTGGGGCTCGATCCCAGGACCCTGAGCTCATGACCAGAGCTGAAGGCAGATGCTTAACCAACTGAGTCACTCAGGTGCCCCTGTTTTTCTTTTTCAGGTTTGCTTTGGCTATTCTGGGTCTTTTGTGGTGAAACCAGATTTTTAACTGACCTAGACAGGGTATGGTGGAGATGTCAGATGTCTGGGTAAAGTTGATCACACAGTGAAGTCTAAGCCTAGGGATGTGTTAAATCATCAGCTCTCTGAACTAAGTGGTAACTAGCAATCCTCTCCTTCAGAACCTAAAGGTGTCAAGAGAGGAAGGGCGGGGTCAACCCAGGATACCACCTCATTTTTCTCACTGCCAGTTGGAGGTCAGGCTGTAAAACCATCCTACTCTGAGGCAGAGGACTTTGGCAGTCCCTCACATCTGAGCCTATGAAGGCTGTGAGACCCATCTTCACATGAAACTCACCAAACCTCTGGGGTTGGTGGGCTGTAGTCTTGGTTTTACCAACCCCCTTCCCTGGTCTCAGATGTCCTTGTGTTTGCCCAATTTCCCACCTGACATCAAACTTTTAACATAGCTTTCTACTCAGTCAGCCAAACTCTTACCCAGATCTGACTATTTTAAACACAAGCAGTTGAGATGTACTAAGTATTGGAATTACTGATTATTATTTTTTTAATTAAGCTTTCTTATCTCTAAGCACTTGCCCATCATAGAAGCCTTAGCAATTGGAAGTCTTTGAGACACCTTCTTTCATGAATAAATGAAAAAGATTGGTAATTGACGTATGATTTTTGTGTTAGCAGGCATTATCAAAGTGCTGAAAAATTTTGTTCTTTTAATTGGTTTAGTTACAGCCTGGGGTTTATATCAGTAATTGGATTAGCATGTATTTTCTTGTGAATGGAAGTTGATTCAGGCTCTGTTCAAATTTATTCATATCTTCCTTAAACAATCACAGACCTGCTATGAGCCAGGGGATACAGGTTGAATGGGAAACAGCTTCTTTGTGTTTTTGAGGAATGGAAGAAATAAATGGACAATTAGTGTAGTATGGTTAAGACAGTTTTGGAAGTAATAGGGGCTGGTGGACCCACAAGACTACTAGACTTATTAGCTGAACTTGGAGTAGGCTTTATGGAGCATCATTATACAGTTATATTCAGGGTGTTCAGAATCAGATTGCCTGGGTTCAAATTCAGATTTCATCCCTGACTAGTCATTATGACCTTGGGGAAGTTATTTACAATTTCTTACCTCGATTTCCTCATTTATAAAATGATAATACTGATAATTATATCTACTTCCATGGGTTATTTTATGTATATTAAATAAGTGATGGCATGTAAAGTACTTAATTTCATGTCAGGCACATAGTGAGCCGTCAATCTAAGCTATAATAATAATTATTAATACACTGATCAGCTAAGCTGAGACATAAAGAATGAGTAGGAGTAAGCTATGCATAGTTAAGGGAGGGTATTCTAGGTAAAGGGCAGAGCCTGACTCCAAAGCTGGGAACTAAGAAAATACGGCATGCTAAAGTAACTGAAGGGAGTTCAGTTTGGCGAGAGCATAAAGTGAGTGGTGGGTAACTGATGGGAGGGATGGAAACAAAAGACAAGTCTGGCAAGGTAGGCAGAATCTACAGTGAAGGGTTTAAGCAAGCTAAAACTTTGACCAGCTGTATTCCCAAGAATTCGGACTGTTGATGAATTTCAGGCTCTGAAGACAACTTAAATTTACAGGTGAATGGAGTCCCAACCACTGATGTAACTACAACATGAGTTACAGGAAAGCTACACATGTTTGAGATGAAAACATTTGGCGGGTAGCTTTGTGGAAATATTTTTAAAAAATCAACACAGAGAGAAATGCGTAATAACCAAAAGCCATTCTCCTAGCAGAGGAAAAATATCAAGGTTTGGGTTTAGGTCTCAGATGGTGCCCTAAATGCCTGGAAACTAAATTCTCTTTGGATCCTTGGGAAGAGGTTTTGAGGTTGGAAGTTGTGCCTCCCTGGCCTGTGCTGGTAGAGAAGGTGCGTGCGTGTGTGTGTGTGTATACACATGCACACATGGGTGTACACAGATGAATGGATGGATAAATGAGTTATATCTATTTCTCAGGGATCATAGAAAATAGGGTGTCTGGTCACTTCCCTTCCTACATGTGGTGT